ACTAACTCACCATTATAATTACTTTTTATCATGTCTATCTCCCATACTAAAAAGAAGAATGATTGCTTAATTAATATTTGAGTTTTATTAATATATATTTTGATCCCAAGTAGTGAACATACTGCCTGATTAACAGAATATGCCCATCAAATGTTTGCTGAATTGAAATGTTATGATCAAAATCACATATCAGATCATTACATCAACAAGTTATATCAGATTATGTCAACTCTCCAGTTCTAACCTAACTCTTAAACACACACACACATACACACACACACACACACACACACACACACACCACATCCTTTTAATGATATTTCTTTTAAAAAACAAAAACAAATCAAATAAAAACTATGCCTTCAGTACTTTCTCATTTTATAAAGTATGAATTTCAAATTTTGATCATGTCATTCAGGGTTCTCTAAAATCTGAGTCCTATCAGTCTCTCCACCCTCCACTTCTACATATTTTCACAACTTGATTCTTACTAACACATTATACATTATTATAGAAGCAACCAATTTCAGGTTCTCTTTATTATACTGGCTGCTCATCCTGAAATGTTTTCTATCAGTTTCAAAGCTAAATCTTAGTCTTTCTTCATAGGTGTGACTTCTATAATCAGAATAAATACCCTTCTCTTCTCTGCTCTTCTGTACTTCTAATTTTGCACCAAATTACATTTTACCAATATGTTTATATGTGCATCTCCATCACTTGAGGGCAAATTACATGCAAATTTCCATAATTTTTTACTTATTTTATTTTTTCCTATTCCTGTCTGTCAGAGACTCATCGGATTTTCTGCATATGGTAGTTGCTCAATAATTATATTTTGAAAGAAGAAACATCTTACTAATTTGATGTATAAGACCAATGCATTGGTGTTTATTGAGCATGCTTAAAGTTATTCAAACTCTCTATTAAGGAAATAGTTAAGGAATAATGTGAAAAGACTGGTTAGCACAAACTCTATATAATGAAATTTGACAAATATATATTGATCATGAGATTCATATCATTGTACTGAGTGAAACAAATAAAAATGAGAAAGATGCAGTCCATTTTCTCAGGGAACTAACAACCTGGATTATGCAGGCGTATAATTAACCCTAATGCTTGGTGAGCAGTCATAATAAGTGCTGAAGCAATAAGCTTTAGCAATTTAAACTAAAGAGCAATGGCTGTTGGCAAGAAACCATAAAATATTTCATCAAAATTGTGATGATGTCTGAACTTGAGTTTCAATGGGGAACTATAATTTCAGTGGGTGAAGTGGAGTTGTGGAGGCTTTCCAAGAGAGACATTAGCATACGATTTAGAGGCAGGAAAAATGTGGGCTGCTTTCAGAAACAATGAATACAATGATTGAACAAGACCTTAGTAGAGGCAGTAGGGGTAGTGGAAGTTAGAGCTGAATTTAAAGGTTAGGGTCATTGAAGAAGTTCTCGATGGTATATTAAAGGTCTATGCAATATATGTCATTATATATTAATATAGTATACTACATCATTATGTTATTAATATATTAATATGGCACACATTATGTATAAGTATATATTATATATTGGAATATGTTATGAAACATAATCATTATGATTAGATTTTGCTTAATAGGTTTAACTGTGAAGAATTATATAGCAGAAAGGGATAGGGGTTGAGCAGACAGAAATCCTGTATAATAAAAGGCTAATATGCAATTCGACCAAATGGCGGAACAACCAGTTGTTATGATGTGCACTGACATAGAAGCATGGAACAGAATGTGGAATCTCAGAGGAAAGGTGGGGGAGGTGGGTGGTGAGAATCGATCAACCAAAGAACTTGTATGCATAACTCATGGACATAGACAATAGGGTGGTGAAGATCTGTTGCAGGGAGCAGGGAAAGCTAGAAAAGGTCAATGGGGAAAAAAGGGGGGACATATGTGATACTTTCAAGAGTAAAACTTAAAAAAAAAGGTAGAATGTGAACAGATTCATGCTGGTTAAAAAAAAAGAATTTATGAGGGACACTAACTATATCATAATTTTAGTTTAAAATCTAAAGCATCAAATGAAATGTTCCCCAACCACCAGCTCATTTAGTCATTTGCAGAAATTTTGTTCTAATAACTGATTGCTTTTCTTCTATCTTACATATTTTTATTTGACTCTTAAGAATGTGCTCTTAAGTAAGTTTTCCTTTTTTGAAATAAAATTTTTCTCTTTTTTTTCTAAATTACCTTCTTCAATTACTTTCTCTAATACCCAAACTATCTAGTTCCCCTTTCTAAAGCTGCCATTAGCATGAATTTTTCTAAACTGATTTTTGTCAGTTTTCTAAATGTATCATCATCAATAAACAATGACTACTTATAAAAATTTCTTGTACTAGTTGCTGTTACTATAGAGAAACAAGTCAAGCTGTGTTTTCTGATTTTTTTTTAGTATTTCATTGTGAAATATAAATATAAATAGCATTGAAAAGAAAAGTTGACTTGTTCTTATGTTCTTTCTTTAAAAATCACTAACCTATAGTAATAAAAGCCTAGGTTGCCCTCATGTGCAACTTCGTCACAGATGGCCACCACAAAGATGGCCACATGCATGGCCACCACAAAGATGGCCACATGCACAGTGGAGGTGCCTGGGGGTCCCGCAGCTCCACGTGGTGAGGCCTGGGGGTCCCGCAGCTCTGCATGGTGCGGAGGAGGTGGGTTGCGGCAGGGGAGGGCAGTTGTGGGCAATCGGGCTGGCAGGGGAGCAGTTAGGGGTCAATCAGGCAGGCAGGCAGAAGCAGTTAGGGGAAATCAGGCAGGAAGGCAGGCGAGCAGTTAGGAGCCAGCAGTCCCGGATAGTGAGACCGCAAGGATTGGGCCTAAACCAGCAGTCAGACATCCCCCAAGAGGTCCCAGATTGGAGATGGTGCAGGCTGGGCTGAGGGACAAATTTTGTGCACCAGGCCACTAGTTATTTATAAACTATTTATTGTGAGAACTAAGATACCTTTATTTTTTACCTTTTTTAATGGATCTTTGCATTCCTTAACTCAGATTAAGCCTCATGGAAATTAATTACAATCAACAACAACAAAATATATTAAAGCTTATAAGGAGCACACAATTACTTTCCTCTTATTTATATAAATAATTTAAAACAAAACAAAAGCATTCAGAAAAACTACAGTATTTTGAGAGTAATTCTAATAATTTAAAATTAATGAATCTATGTCCTAGTATAAGCAATCAAATGTACCATCCAGCCTACAAGAGACAATAACAATATTTGAGGGCTAAAACTGTCTTAAAGACAACAAACTCTTTTCTCCACTACTGCTGTTTCTCTATGTAACTGGACTCTTCAGTTGCCATTTCTGGAGCAAAGTTTCAGAGCCTCACTTGAATGTATAGAACATTTTTATTTCAGCGTAAATACTTCAGCCAAGTGGTCCTACTACACCTTTGTTTATGACAAATAGAAACTTTACCACTGTCATATTAAGCAAGACTTTCAAATCAGTAGTCACCAAACCTTTTGTTTGTTTAACTTTATTAATAAAATATTTTGATTCACCCAAGATAAACATAAACAAAAATCAAAATTAACAATGACAAAATAGACACAGTTAACATTTTCTTACTGCACACTCTAGGAATTAGCACACTCAATTTGCAGATAATTTACATATTCTCTCTCCTGAAAGGACTGAGTTCTTGTCATTACCCATTATCTTAGGAGTTCTTTTCTCCATTCAGTTTGCTAAGCTATCTGGCTGCCAAAAAGCTTTTGCTCTATATATTTTAAACTGTTTTTCCACCATTTATGCTTTTTAACACTGCTAGCCTTTAATTCCCATGGAACTCATTCTTCCTGTAATTAAAAGTCCATTACTTCTGATATTTAAATTGTTAAACCTGGAACAAACAAAAGCATATATAAACTTGCTCATTTGCCTCAGCTTATTTTAAAGAGCAGGGAGTTTGTATTGGATAAGATTTTTAGTCTGATTTGGAAATGTGTGAATTTGTGTGTGTAGTGTAAATGTGAATATTATTTTCTTATAAATTCCTTGATAATACATAATTAATTACATTAACCTCCCACTTCTTTACTGATTTATTAAATAATTCAATAATTATTGAATTATTTTATTATGTCCACTACTAGTAATAACAATATTTACATTATAAGAATAAAGTTCTGGGAAAAAAATATCCTCATTAATAAAGTGTGTGTGTGTGTGTGTGTGTGTGTGTGTGTGTGTGTGAATGAGAAAGAGAGAGGGAAGAAGAGAGAGAGATAGATAGGGCTATTTTAGTGGTATACACAGCTTAAATTTGTTATATAATCTAATGACTCCAAGTTCATTTGTGCACTAATAACCAAAAGAGGTAAAATATAAAGAAAAAAGCTCTGTAATACTTTCAACAATAAAGATAAATTTTAAATAAATAAATAAATGTCTCTAAAGTTAAAAAAAAAAAGGAAAAGAAAAAACAGCTCTTTAAATCTGAGATGATTACAAAATACTTTCTTAAAGTCATGAATTAGATAAAATGAAATGGATTCAATGATGCCACTAAACATGGGCACAATGTTTTTTCGAAGATAAGAATGATAAGGTCCCGAGGGGAAATATATTTATATCTCCAAGGAATTAACTTCATTTGCAACATTATCTAAGTTTAACAGACAATTTCCATGTTTTTCCATTTTGGAGCCAAGTTTTGCTTCTCAGAAGGACTGGCATTCTGACTGCAGTCTTTCTCTATCCCCATCTCACTAGTTCGCATGTCACTAGCTCTTCCTAAGTCTCCTTTCATCTCTTAGTGACAGATCTGAATCACCGGAAATGAGAGAACATGACTGGCAACCAGTTTCAACAGGCCTTGTTCAGTGGCAGATACAGAATGTAATTTATTCTGTGTGACAGTTTTCATAAATGTGACATGAAACACAAGGGATATAATGTTAGCGATATTGCACCTCAGAAGAGGAGAAAGTTTGGTATGTTACCTCCTGATTAGCAGCAGCTAGTTCTTCTTCCAGTGCAGAGACTCTTTCTAAAGAAACCCTCAGTCGCTCCCTTACCTGGAAGAAAAACCAAAAATGTGCCGTAATATACATCCCATACAAGTTAAACTGCTAATCCGTCATTAACATTATCAAAGACAGTCACGGTTGGCTATTTTCCCACTATTTATAGTCCTAATTTTTTGGGAATATGATGAATACATTGTCACCTCATAGTGCCACTGTATCAAAAGAGACTTCCTTGTAACTAAGTTTTTTTCGTGTTTTGAGGATAGATTTTCCTGTGGGTTTGGAGATTGACCCATCTTGTTCTCAATTCTGATTCATAGTAAGCGAAGGCCAAATTTAAACGTTTAGTAAGATTTAATGAGGAATATAGGTTAGATAACATATGAAATAGATAAAAACATACAAAACAATTTTATTTAAAATATGTTTTTGAGAGAGAGAGGAAGGGAGAGGGAGAAAGAGAAACATCAGTGAGAGAGAAACATCCATCAGCTGCCTCCTGCATGCCTCCCACTGGGGATTAAGCAGCAACCCAGGCAACTGCCCTTACTAGGAATGGAACCGCCAACCTCTCAGGGCATGGGACAATGCTCAACCAACTGAGCCACACCGGCCAGGGCCATAAACAACAATTTTTAAGTTGCATTCTTTTCCAATTAGCAAACAAACAAAAAGCACTAGTGTCCTATAAATCTAAAATCTAATTTGAAATTTTTAAAAATCTCAATATACTTTTATACTGTACTAGAGGCCCAGTGCATGAAAATTCATGCACTGGAGGTGGAGGCCCTCAGCCCAGCCTGCCCCCTCTCACAGTCCGGGAGCCCTCAGGGGCGGGAGGCAACCTGGCAATCAGGGGAAGGTGACGCCCCATCACATCTCTGCTGCTGCCACTGCCAGCAGCACAAGCCTTGGCCAGCCCTGGTTACCTGAGCCTGGGGAGGCCCTGGGAGGCTGGGGGGCTGAGGGGACCGGGGGACTCTGGAGGCGCGCGGGCCTGGCCTTGCCGTGCACCTGCTGCCCTGGTGGGGCTGAGGGGACTGGGCACCTCCATCTTGTGGCTGTGGGTGCTGCCATCTTTGAGGGCGAGGCAGTCAATTAGCATCTTCCCTCCTTATTGGCTGTGGGCGCCACCATCTTTGCGACAGTGTGAGGGTTAATTAGCATATTCCCTCTTTATTAGATAGGATAATGTTATCTGATATATATTCAGGTGACTCTACTTAAATCCTGAAATAATCTTGAGTAATAAAGAATAAGTATATGAGTAGAGATTAACATTAGTTATTTTCATTATGCTCAAATTCTCTGCAAATTGCTAATACATATACATAAATGAATATTTGATAACAAAGATGATTATGCAGATACTTCATGATATCTAGGCATGCTAGATGGACTGCCAGGTATCAGTGCTGTTAGACTACTATCCAATTGTTCATAAAAATGCTTATGCTGGTTTGGCTCAATGGATAGAGCATCAGCCTGTGGACTGAAGGGTCTTGGGTTCGATTCCAGTCAAGGGCACATGCCAGGGTTGCGGGCTTGACCCCCAGTAGGGGGCGTCCAGGAGGCAGCCAGTCAATGATTCTCTCTCATCATTGATGTTTCTATCTCTTTCTCCCTCACCCTTTCTCTCTGAAATCAACAAAAATATATTTTAAAAATGCATAAAACTTATTCTGATCAATAACTGAAAAAGAGCTACTTGGAAGAAACTCTTTGATGATCTGACTTAGGGAATACTTTTGTATGAACATCTTGGAAAGATGCCAAATAAGCAAATACCCCCAAGGCATGAAAATAGGAGGACTGCTGATATGTGGAATGCAGATATGAACAAAGAATTTTAGTAGTTGTGCTTGACGTTTAACAAGGATGGTTGTAAAGTTTTATGCCCACTTCCTAAAATACCAACTATAAATATGGGTATTCGGATAAAGGTTTAGGAATCCCAGTTGATGAGAACAGCAATGGTTAAATATAAGTAAACTAGAGGCCCGGTGCACAAAAATTTGTGCACTCGGGGGGGTCCTTGAGCCTGGCCTGTGCCCTCTAGCAGTCTAGGACCCCTCAGGGGATGACCACCTGCTGGTTTAGGCCTGCTCCCTGGGGGGTTGGGCCTAAGCTGGCAGTCAGACATCACTCTGGCAGCCCGGGAGCCTCAGGGGATGTCCACTTGCCAGTGGGGAGCAGGCCTAAGCTGCAGTCGGACATCCTTAGGCTGCTGAGGAGGCGGGAGAGGCTCCCACCACCACCGCTGTACTGGCAGCCATCAGCCTGGCTTGTGGCTGAGCAGAGCTCCCCTGTGGGAGCACACTGACCACCAGGGGGCAGCTACTGCATTGGGCATCTGCCTCCTGGTGGTCAGTGTGTGTCACAGTGACCA